TGGTTCCAGGTCACCTTTAATCTTCATCAGAGGTAACATGAACGCGCAGCGTTATATCCACGAAGTTCTAGAACCCCATCTTTTACCCTTGACACCCTGGCAGATCCAACTTTCCAACAAGATAATGCCCGACCACATGTTGCAAGAGTCACAATAGACTTCTTTCAACATAATGATGTCACATTGTTACCATGGCCACCAAGATCTCCCGACTTATCCCCAATTGAGCACGTGTGGGATATGATGGGTAGGAGATTGCTCAATTTGCAACGTCCTCCTCAGACTCTAGAAGCACTTCGAGAGGAGTTAGTGGTTGCCTGGAATGAGATACCACAGGAGGACATTGACCACCTGATCAGAAGCATGCCTAGGCGCGTTGGAGAATGCGTAGCACATCAGGGTGCATCCACACATTATTAAAGGTCAAAGGGCTTTAAAGCAGTGCAATCATTTTGAAATTTTTATCATTTACTTATTATGCTTCATTAAGTACTTTATTAAAATAAAACCATTTAAACTGGGTGTTCGGATTTATATGTCACTTAGTATAGTTTAGTCATCAAACTAACATGATGAGGTTAGTAGAACGTAGTTTTGAATGATATTCATTATCTATCTAGGCACTTTTATGCTAGAATTTTTTAACTATGGACATGAGGCATTGTGGAAAAATGTTTCCAAATGCCTTATCTCATTATATCCAAGCGCTGCAAATATGTCATTAACAACTTGGTTTGCCGCACTGTACATTTATTTCTTTCTATTAGCGCATCTGTTCAAAATCTCTAAATACCTGCATAAATCACACATTTTTGTCCAAATTGATTTTGAACTAACACTCGCTCTATCAAAATTACAGCAACATTATTTACCAGTCGATGGGGTGTCAGTGCGAATGAATATATCCAATTAATATTTATTCGTTAAGCTTAGTCTGATACGGTGATACACTGGATAATGTTTAATTTACAAATTCATAAATCAGCCGACGGGAGGCCGTTCACATTCCACAAATGTATAATGAACTGAATGGCGGGACCGGGAATATATATGGAATTAGATTTGTATGCGGGGGGCAAACGGTTTATCGAGGTGAGGATAAATAGTCGATTTACATGTATTACAAACCATTTGCTACAATTTACGATCGACGAACGTGGAGGTACCACGCGGCGGATTTCTAAGTCGGGGCCAGAATGTGTGCATGCCACATGCACGCGCAAGTATATAAAAAAGTCTGTAGGTGGTGGTGTTGTGTTCACAGTTACTAACTTGTCTACTTACTCAATTTCAAACGGATGTAATATATACCAATTTCTCTAAAGAATTTGACAGTTAAAATCATAACATCCTACTCAATAAGTTACATATCTAGATTTGCTCTTTCAGATTCACAGCTGCTATTTTTCAGATCTTATTTATTGGATAGGGATCAGTGTGTTATGTGCATAAGTCAAGCATATACTCTGTTATGTCCGGTGTTCCTCAAGGATCTAATTTGGGACCTCTGCTATTTATTATGTTTTTAAATGATATGTCCGAAGTTATCGATGTTGATTTTCTTATATATGCTGACAATATGAAACTTTTCTATGGAGTTTATGATATTGGCGATCGTCATCGCTTACAATGCAATATTGTAAGGGTTGACAACTGGTTCCGTGACAACAGGTCTTGAATCCTGTTGTCATGTTTTATCGTTTACTTTAAAAATAGAGGTAACGATGTATATCTGTGGTGTTGGTTGCATAAACTTGACAGACCTGATACAATTAATTTCTTGGGAGTCACATTTGACAGAAATTTAAAAACATTCCGATCTGATTTTTGAGTGCTGGGTAGGTAAAGCTGGAACGCTTTTTCCTCAGAGTTCTGTTTTCAGGATTTTTTCAGCGTTCCAGCTTTCTCTACAAAACATCCTTCTTTTATTTTATTTGGCTTTGGCTGTTGGATGTTGCTAAATTAATTTTCACGTTGAATGTGACGTGGCATCTCTCAGACTCCCGAGTACTTTTTTAGAATACGTATTGGTACCTGTTTTATTTCAATTTTATGGTATAGTCTGGAGTCTACTTATAGTATGTATTTATATTTGGTTTATTATAAATTTTATTATAAACATCAAATTTAATGATTATCGTTAGCATTCTTCAGAATCACTCGCGTTGGGCCGCTGTATTTTTGATGCATTTGTTCCAATTTTTCAATGTTCAAAATTTCAAATCGATTTGCTTAATCTCCTAAATTTACAGCTTCGTCTTTCAGACCAAGGACCATTTATGTTTTTTCCATAAAAAGTTTGTTCTTTCTGTAGTCAAATCGCTAAAGCTATTTTCACTCGAAAATGACTTCTGCATTATATCATCATCGAGCTCAAATTATTGTTCATCATCCGGAGGCTGCTCGCTGTCGCTTTCGTGGTCAGTCACAGTATCACTGCCGTCTTCTACATCCGACGCAGCGTACTCTCATAGTCTTTACCCTTTATTTTCATTTGAAGTACTAGCACGTAATTCCATCTAAAATGTCATACCTATAGGTGAAAACAAACATTAAAATTATCAACCACAAAAACTTACGATAACATATTTTATGTAGATCTGCAGCCGCCGTGGCAAATAGGACTCACATATCCAAACTAAAGGTAAATAGACGTATGTTGTTGTCACTTGATACAAAAAGTATTCATAGCGAAAAAAATATCTGCCGGAGTCAACCTCATCAGTTACGGGTTAATCGTCTTAATGTTTGGGAACTCATTCACCATTTCTTCGACTACTATCTGCTATCATCGATGATAGCTCATTCACCATAATTTCAAATATGCCGTCCACCTTTTTTAAGCTAACAGAAAAATGACTTATTTACCACATTACTTTGAGTTCATCAAGTTCTTATCATTCTCAATATAATTCCTGAGCACTTGAGCTGTGGTATAACAGAACTATATACATATTCCTAAATTTGTTTTGATTGTTTACCACGATATTTTCCCATCGAAATGTTCGGCAATCTTGCAGAAAATGGTACAAGATGATTTGTCAAATCAATCTTCTCGAATTCTAGGAAGAGATCCACATTTCTTGGCTTATATTTCTATTTATATATGCACAATTTGGAAGCTGTTATGATAAATATATGCTATCTTCATGCATATTAGGTTATGATTAGTTTCAGAAAAAAATAATTTCCTTCAACCCCCTTCATATTGTTACCGATTTTTCAGTATGCCTATCGATTTTTATCAAAATCTTCCGAACTACCGATTTTGATGCAAAATCTGTCGATAGAATTGAACTTTATTTCTGCCTATGCCAGAAGTGATTTCTTTCACATGCTTCTGTTGCGAAATAACCAAATAAATCAAAAAAATACTGCTAACAGGTATCTCTGATAATTTTTCTAAAAACAACTAAAACGCTAACTATTTATGCGCGTCCCAGTACGATTAAAAGGGTATTTTCACACATGTAAACTTATGAAGACTGCTGTAAGGAATAGGCTTAAAATTATGAGTCCGATCGGTTCATACCATATGTTTGTACCTGTAGTTTATATGCACTAATACATAGGCTCTATACCCAGATTGCTTATTATCAAGAATTTATTTCTTCTTAGTTAGCTTAGAAGGGAGATTGAGAGTGTTGATTTCTCTATTTTATTTTGTTTTGATATTCGTCAATTTATTGATTTATGTGAATGCGTTTTTGTACCTTCCGAAAAATTTAATACAATTCTATCAAAACAAATCGTCTGCACATTCTCAGTTGACGAATCCACCATTTCTTTAACTATATGTCCATCGCCGATCTAACATTCACCATTATTTGAAATCTATATATTTGATCGACCCATCCACCATTTTCCAAGCTATTTGTAATTTGTCTTCTTTCCTAAAATATGTCTGCTTTTGCTTGATGTATAATAACAATAATTGACGTAAATGCTTTTTTCGAGCTCTATCTACCGGAAAATTTCCTGGCGACACTGCCTCCATAGTTGACGAATCCACAAATTTTTCGACAAGTAAACTTTACCGTCTAACGTCGATGTCACATTCAACATAATTTGAAAACTATATTTTGATTGGTCACCCGCCATCTTCCATGCTACTTGTAACTTGGCCTCAGACGCGAATCCTTGGAGGGGCTAGCAGTATGGGTTCCTACTTTCAGAAGGTATTATCAAGTGATTTGCGCTTATTATAAATTGATTAAGAAAGAAAATAATAAACAGCAATACTGGAACAGGATTGCACATTTATTTTTGAGTTAAATTTAAAAAAAAAACAATGTGGTCTCTCCTTCTCACCCCTTTCCTCATTTCTTTCTTGAAGGTCTGAGCCTGGGTGGGGGCAATAGCACCGTTGCCTCTCCCGGATCCGCGCCTGTCCTCTATCGTAAAATATATCTGCTGATGATTTATAAATAATAATAATTGACGTACGCCTTTGCCAGTATCTTTCATATGTACAACGTAGGTGCTGTGGACCATGCACGTTGTGAATTTTCATTATGTTCGATTCGCCTCATTTCTCATGCTTTGCGATGCTTCAAACCGCTCATACTACAGTAAAATGTCAGCGGTTTCGACATTTTCTCTATTTATCGACGTTTTGCATGTCTCTAGAGGCTAGTTCCGACATTTTCAGTACACTGTATGGAGAAAAATTGATTTTTACATACATCAGACTTTTAGGTGAATTTGAAATGCCACCATATACCATTCTATGTGTTTTTTTAGGGTAGTGATCAGTTATGTGGTCAGTTATTCGTACAGACTTTATGTCACTACAGACTTCTGATTTCTTTGTAGATATAGTGTCATCTACAACATAATATGCCGCTCAGAGATATGACTCTGCAAATCATTTACATAAGTTGAATAGCAGTGGTCCCAATACATATCCCTGAGGGCACTGTGCAACGCAACCTTTTTAAGTACAAAAAAATAAACATAAATGTTCATGTATATGCTAAGTTTGTCCATTTTTGTTACAGAGGAATTCAATATCACCGGCAGAACGAGAAAAATATCGTCCCCGAACGCCTCAGGAGCCTGAACTGAAAAAGCCGAAAAAGGAAGAAAAGGACATGGGACACGTAAGTACCAAAGTACGTATAAGCATTTTATTCATATTTGATGTGTTAGTGTAGGCTTGGTGTAATGCACTCTAACTATTCAAAATGAATTTTAATCATTGTGTATGAATAACCGGACGTCAGTTTTGTATGCTAAAAGCTGAGTCCACATATCTAAATGTTAGTTAAATTTGTACAATACACGACTAAACTTATTAATATTACTATTATTATTTAATTCAAATAACTGTTAATAAGTGGTATCATAGAAATGATGAATCTTGTTTGAATCTGTTACCAGAAAACTCGAATTAGAAACAAGCTTCCCTAATCTGTTTCATGGATGAAAAGTATTTTATATCAAATTTAGTATTTTAAAAGATATATCGTGAGTGGATTGGCTGAATAATACCCACTATTAATTAAATAAAATTAAAATGGAGACGATTTACGGATAATTACTTTTTTTCGTCCATCTCGAGAAATACTCGGAATTGCGAAACTTTTTACATGACTAAGTGCTACATAAGCTTGACTGCATGATCGACTGTACAACCTTGAATCTTGTGGACGGTCGAAGTCCAACTCAGGATTAAGGCAGCATTCGCAATGAACAAGGTGAGAGTGCATTGCCTTGAAAAAGTATCTGCCTCCGTTGTGATGTGCCGAGTGCCCGAACCAACAAAGAGTAAGTCCGAAACCTCACGCAGATCGCGCGCTAGCTTTATCTCTCTTACTCCCCTACAGAGGATCTAGAAAAGAATTTATCAATCCTGGCGGTCCTAATGAGGATAATGGAAAACTATTATCAAATTATTGCTTTGCCATCGGTCCTTGATAGATGTGCAAAGTTTCAAATTAATCAAACTTCTGGAAATTGTTGAAAATTATGCTCAAAGATTCCGTTATATACTTACATACATCCATACATACATACAGGCCAAGCTAATAAAAACGTGTTAATAAATAAAAGTTTGTTAAAAAGTCCATAGATTTCTGAAGCCTTACAAAACTCAAATTCAATGTTTGTGCAAGGCCATTAGAACGTAATCCAATAAACATAATTGAAATCTGATGTTATAGGTATGACATGAATAATAATAATAATAATAATAATAAAAATAATAATAATAATAATTTTTCCCTAGCAAATTAGACCTCGGTTTCAATTTCGTCGGATTGTCTGCCGAAATCGAAACTAAACCGGAACGCTGATTTTAGACGAAAATAAACAAGTATGATATTACTTATTACAATTTTATTTAATATAGACAATAGTGCGAATCTTCAATAAAGATCTCTAATATGACCACCATTTTCGTTCCTGCACATAACAATTAACAATCAATAATTAACTCATAGCGCTGCAGCGCTACCGCGCAGGCCTGAGAAGGGACAGCGTTGCCAGTTGGCAGTAACTACCGTTAGGGCATGTCTATAGACTATGGATTAACCGTATGTGTCTATTTGACTGCCTTGGTCCATTTAAGTTCTGTTGCACATGTTCGTAAATAACTTTTTTCTCAGACGATTTAAATTCCGCTGAACTTAATCCTCTATGAACTGATAACGACGTTGTGTAGGAAGTGCATAGTCAACCTGCTGGACGCCATTTTCTTGATACCTATGTTACGAGGGTGGTCCCAGAAGTACCCGTCTTGACCTAGAGATGGCGATAGTTGTTTGAAAAATATCATTGTATTAGAAAGTATGAACCTATAAAGCATATGTGTCAAGTTTGAAGACGCCACGTTGTTCTGTATTGGTTTGGCAGCCATCAATACTGAACGATATCGGTGAATTTGTGAAAATGGAGAAAATTGGTCATTGTTATGTGGTACAATACTTTTATTTCAAGGGCATCATCCCAACTATTATAAAAGCTGAACTGGAATCTACTCTGGGTGAGTCTGCTTCTTCGTTTACAACAGTAAAATATTGGTTAGAAAAGTTTAAACGAGGCCGTATGAGCTGCCAAGACGAGCATCGCAGTGGTCGACCAAATGAGGTGACGACTCCAGAAATGGTGAAGAAAATTCACAAAGCGGTACTGAATTATCGTCGACTGAAAGTGCGCGAGCTAGCAGACATAGTAGGCATTTCAGAGAGTGCGGTTCATCGCATATTATCTGAAAATTTGGACATGAGAAAGCTGTGTGCAAGATGGGTGCACAATCGAGCAAAAACAGTGTCGTGAAGATGTTTCAATTGAGTGTTTAGCGAAGTTTCACAGCAACAAAGCAGAATTTTTGCGTCGTTTCATCACCATGGATGAAACGTGGGTCCATCACTTCACACTCGAGACAAAAGAACAATCAAAACAATGGACTCAAAAGGGACAACCGGCGGCTCCAAAGAAGGCGAAGACCGTTTCATCTGCAGGCAAGGTTATGGCTTCGTTCTTTGGTGATGCGCGTGGGATTATTGTCATTACTTGAGCTACGTTTGAGCGATGAAATCAAGCAAAAATGGCCGCATTTGGTTAAGAAGAAAGTGTTGTTTCATCAAGACAATGCACCAGCTCACAATTCCGTTATTGTAATGTCCAAAATTAACGCGAATTAAAGTTTGAATTGCTACCTCATGCACCCTATTCACCATATTTAGCCCCCTCGGATTATTTTCTGTTTCCAAACTTGAAAAAATGGCTTAGTGGTCAAAGATTGAGCGATGTCGACAATTAATGGCTATTTTGAAGAGCAAGACAGTTCTTATTGTCAAAAGGGTATCGAACTTATTGAACATCGCTGGGAAAAGTGTACAGAGCTCAAAAGAGATTATGTTGAAAAATAAATACATTTTTTTACAAAAATTTTGTGTTTTCTTCGTTGGGTCGGGTACTTCTGTGACCACCCTCGTAGTTATTCACTTGTTTGGAAATTACTTCAAACCTGACTACGCTGGTATTTGTGAGATGATCCTAATAAAAATTTAAAAGCAATGAACAGCATGGCGTTGTAAAAGCTACCAGCAGGAACAGAAGGCTAATCGCATTCGACTTAGTGTTGCACTGTAATATCCGCATTAAAGCCTGCATCTCTCGCGACAATATTAAATCAAATAAAACTGATGAAGTTAACGAGTTAACAAAACAAAAATATCTTCCGCATTATTTCCTTTTACGACTTGATGGCGTCATAGGTGTGACAGAATGGGCAATGGAAATTTTGAATAATATGCGATTTTGAACACGTTAAACGCTAGCTTATTCTTTAGACTGTCCTTTGAATGTTTTATTCTGTGGCAGTTTTATAAATATCGCTGCGTTTCCGGAATCAGTACGAGCAAAATTTCGACAATCAAAGTTCAAAACTATAGGGTAATTTTTTAAGAGCCTTGTTTTCAAAAGTTCAATAAAACAGCTAAAAATGCATTATGTATACAAAATCTTTATTGGAATCGATAAACTGGTTCTTGCCATTTACTTTTTAAAGATTGCTTCATGCAAATGATGACCACGGCTACGTTTCAAACAGACCATACAGAAGGTCCAATTTTTCATTACTTTTTCCAGCATTTCGGCCTGAATTCCACCAATAACACGCGTTATGTTGTCTTGTAATGCCTCAGTACTGTTGGGCTTGTCACCAAACTGTTATTTTTTCTGGATGCATGGGCAATTCTTTTATGGCATGTGGCTGCTCATCACACCAGATGCGGCAATTTTGCTTGTTAACATATCCATTTAGTCAAAAGTGAGCCTCATCGCTGAACACATTTTTTCGATAAAACATCGGATCTTCTGCGAGCTGTTGCAAGACCGATTTACTAAAAATTCGACGTTGTGGTAGGTCATTTGACTTCAAATGTTGCACAAGTTGAATTTTGTAAGCCCTCAAACTCAAATTGACACGTAAAATTTTTCAGGTTGTGGAGTAACACATTTCCAACTGTTGAGATCTGCGGCCAATGTATATTTCACGATCTTGATTAGCTCTGGCTGCAATATTCTCTTCGGTTCACACTGTACGCATGCGAGTCGATGGTTTAATGTCCAATAAAGAAAATTTGGTACGAAATTTGGTATTAACGCCTCTAATTGTGGTTTCACTAGGTGAATTATGACGACCATAAAATGACCGTGTCACAGAGCATGAATTTTTGGTAATAAATTTCTACGATTTGCATTTGTTGTTCGTTTGTAAGTCTTTCCATGATGAAATGGCATAGTCCGAACAATTTTGACTTTGACATATTACGCTAGGACGCCATTACGTATCAGTGCTGCCATTTTGAAAAAAAGGTCGTGAAAAATCACCCATTACAAGTCTACCAGGATGTGAAAATCCAATTTTCTCCATACAGAATGAATCTTTCAGGTATATCGGGCGGTCGTTTTTGTTGAGTCTTATCGAACAATTGTTTAATTTATGGCATCTTTGAAACTTTCCGCTGGAGTTGCGCAAAGTAATAAGCTTAGTGATAGTGATGATACTATTTAGAAAGGTAGTATTTTACATTGCTCATGTTTTCGCTGTTTGTCTCCAAAGAAATGTCTTCAGCCCAGGCCACAAATTTCACTATCGATTTTGTCAACCTTTTCATCTGTAGCTTTGCCAAAATATTCCCAATGTTACGTTTTGCTTTAATGGATGTTGTAGAGATTTTTGGATTTCTGTACAGTCACTTGTACAAGTTGGGTTGACGCAAGAGCATATACAAGATGTTCCAAATTCTACACTCACCATTGGGATCTCGGAAATTGTAATACGAAGTCGCTGAAATGGGGGGCAAAGTTGCGTATTTAGGTAATCATCAAAATGCCGCAAGAGAAAGCTTCGAAATTCAAAAGTACTTTTTTTAAAATCGTTTTTATTTTTTCCAGACTTTATTTGTAGTAGGATTGTGGGACTTCAAAGCAAATAACACGTTAATATTGCCATGTTTTCTTCTCTTCAATATGGCATAATTAGAATTTCAATATGACGTTTCGTCTCTTGCCCTCCAGCATCAACTTTATTTTTTCTTAAATGCACCATATTGTATTTTTGCACAGGTGATTAGAGACTTTAACTATTTATTTATCCTGACTT